TTGATTACTATTTACTCGATAATTATCCCGAAGTTTCAAACGGATTGCAAACCATTGGCCGGAAATGTCGTAAACTTAAGAAACTTTCGCTTACTTTCCGCTCATTTGATGCCATTATTATCGACACAATTGACAAACACTTTGCAAACATAAAGCGATTGGAAATCATCGAAACGAATGGCATTTCGATACAAGAGTTGTGTTTGCAATCACTGTTTCATTGCAAACGTGTCACACATTTGACACTCAAATCACTGGCCAATTGTCACCACACTTTCGACCACAAGATTATGAGCCATTTGTGTGGATGTATGCCTCGTATACAGCATTTGGAGCTATCGTATCGTTACGTGAATGAGATGTCAGTCGCATCCCTGGCCGGTATGAGACGCATACAGACATTGGAGATGTGGGATACGGGACACGGATTTAATGGCCATAAGATTATGGATGAGATTATTAGCCTAAACCCGAAGTCGTGTATTAAATCCATTGTATTCAATGAGATCGATATATTTAATGTTAATTTAGGCAATCATTTATTGTGATTAATATTTAGTGTTTTTTATCAATTTATGATTATTTTATTTATACAGACTTTTGTACTATTATTTTATCATGACTTGAATTCATTTATTTTACAAAAGTTTTCATTAAATTTATTGTTGATCACATGTTTAGTGATTTACTTATTATAAATTTTACTACTAATCTATTATCATGTATAGAAAAATATGTTCATTGATTATCGGATAATTTTATTTTATCAATGTTTATGTTCTTATAATCTAATCAATAGTATGATCAATGACTGCGATAAGTGTTTGTAAATAATGTTGTGTACATTTGATCAATTAAAATATAAAAAGCTAATCATTACAACGGGTTATTTATCATACCTTTTGATATTTAATAATTAGATATCACTTACTAGACGTACTGTATATAATTTATTTACAATTAGTTACATGAAAGTTATTTAGAAATATATTAATGAGATTTAGAATAGTTTTACTATAAAAATGATTTTCAAAATATTTATTGTAATTAAATAAATAAATAAATAATTGAATTCAAAAGTTCAAACTTTATAAATAATTGCAGTATATTTCGAAGAATTACATAAGAAATTCATTTATATATATATATATGTTATAATTATTTATCAAAATAATATATCATTAAATAATTTGTTTTATGAAAGTTATAATAGATTTTATTCGTCCGGAGGACTGGTATCTTGAGTGGCAATCATGTGGAGGAATGCCCGTTCGAGACTGGCGTTGGACACGAAGTAGTCCTCGAAATGCAATTCGAGTTTCAATTGATTCAATGACTGAAAGATTTGCGATAACCTACTGTCCACTGACTGCAGGTTATAGTAAATGACACCAAAATTGTCGTATTTCTTGACACAGTTGTCGCCAAACGTGTCATTCATACGTCTCTTCACTTCGTCGACAATGACTTCATTTGAATCGCTCTTCACTTTGACGATCAGATCAAAGCCTTTGGCGTAAAAGGACTTCAAGTGAGCCGTGAATCCGATGGCTTTGAGGACCCCTTTGGAGACAATCGCTAAACGACTGCAAAGGGCCTCACATTCAGTCATGTTATGCGAAGTCAACACAATCGACACCTTTTGGCAAACCATGAGATCTCGTAATAGACACCAAATGCTGAGTCGGGAGTCGGGGTCCACACCAGTGGTCGGCTCGTCGAGCAGTAGGACGAGGGGACGGCCTATGAGTGCGACGGCCAGCGATAGTTTGCGACGATTGCCGCCGCTATAAGTCGTAACCCTTTTGTCGAGAATTGCTTTCAATTCAAACAAAACACATATATTTGAGACAAACTTTTCTAAGGCTTTCCGCTCAACACCTCTGATGCGGCCGAAGAAGACCAGTGTTTGACGGCCTGTCAGTCCATCCAAAAGGGCGTCATTTTGTGGACAATAACCCACTCGTGAGTAGAATTGTCTTTTATTTGTCAGTAGGTCTGCGTCTGAGCCCAGGTATGCGTTACCGGAGTCTGCGTTGAGATCACCGGTCAGTAGTCGAAAGGTTGTCGTCTTTCCGCTGCCATTAGTTCCCAATAATCCGAAACATTCCTCTTTGTTCACCACAAATGAGATCTCATTAGGAATTGTAGTGTTTTTGTTGAGACTTTTGCTCAGTTTGTCGACAATCAGTGAAACGCTTTCAAAGTTTTCACTTCTTATGAGTTGTGAAACCGTTTCGTATTCTTGTCGTACGTCTGGCGGACTGTCTCTCACTTCCGGCAATTCAATCGCATCAATATTATCAGTGGTTTTGCCACAAAATCTCTTAAATAATTCACGGATTTTTCGATAATATTTGGTTTCTATGATAATCACAATAACTATGTATAGAAAGCCGTAAATAATGAACCGGCTCATATATTTAAACAGATAATCAAATGGATTCTGGTGTTCATAACAATAGTGACTAGATTTTCGTACAAATAATTGTTGAACAAACAGTTTATTGTATGTTATTTGCGTTGAATTGCATTTTGGTAGACAGCACCGTGGTCTTTGATAGGTGTAATCCTTGTTATTACCTTTGACTGCACAGTAAGTTTGTTCAGGGTCTTCGTCATCCAATAGTTTACACAAACTATTTTCACTGAATATTTGATTCAAATAGTCTATGCTCTCGAAAAACAGTACATTAGGGGTTAGAATAGATGTCAATTCAAGTATAAAAGGTCTAAACGGTAGGATAATCCACATTAAATAATATCCTTTATAAGTATTCGTTAAGCAATCGTGTATTAATGCACATACAGTGCCACCGATTATGTTATATAACGTAATGAACGTAAAGCCTGTCGACGCCTTTGTGAACATAAATGACACCAAATATGCGAACGGAATGAATGCCATTCCGTATGACATGAACGCCAGGTATAGGGATATCACTGAATATTCTGTTGCCATGAAATAGGAGTTTGTGTCCGA